GTACAATGTATAACAACTGAATCGATATCGTTGTTGCACTACAAATAACACTTCCTCATTACGGAACGAGAGACTTGTTATATAATTGACAACATCTCAGAACAGCTTTGATACCTCCCGTGGAGTAAGACAAGTCACGTACTTTTTATACTTTTTATTAATGAATTTGCCACTGAACAGTATATGTCTTGTAACAGTGGAGTGTTCGTTACCCAGGATATACAAGATCTGCTGCTACTAATGTTTGCCGATGACATCGTTCTTTTTTGCCACTAGTGTTATTTGTCTTCAACGACAACTAAGTCTCCTGGAGACATTCTGTTTAAATTGGGGACTGGAGTTGAATTTAAGAAAGTCAAATATCATCGTTTTTCGAAATGGTGGAATTCTGGCGGAATCGGATAAATTGTTCTTCGGTAATCAGCCTATGGAGGTTGTAACTTACTATAAATATCTTGGACAAAGGCGTGTGAAACTCTTGCACAACAAGCAAACAAAGCCTGTCTTTCAGTGTTTAGAACCTTGAAGAAAAACCAGGAAATTACATACTCTGCGGCACGGATTATTTTTGATAGGAAGATATCATCAATACTACTCTACGGAGCTGAAATTTGGGGACACAAATATTCAGATTCAATTGAAAGGATTCAAATGACGTATTTTAAAAGATTTCTCAAAATTGGAAAATTTGCTTCTAACAGGGTATCCCCGGTGAACTTGGACGTTATCCAATGTATGTTTTCAGCCGGATCAAAGCAATTAAGTTTTGGTTTAAACTGTTACACATGAATCAACAACGTTATCCCATACAGTGTTATAAGATGCTTAAAACTTTGACGATATGGGCAAAATTAATTGGGTGTCAAGTGTGAGATCTATTTTATTCAAAAACGGATTTTCACATGTATGGTTAAACCAAGGTGTTGGCGATGTGCAGCTATTCATCCTAACTTTCGAACAACGCATCAAAGATATAGCCTACCAGACTTGGCATAATGATATTTGCAGCTCAACGTTTCTCAGCCACTATTCACAATTTAAATATGACCTTCACTTGAAACCGTACACCACTGAATTGAAAAACAAATACTTAATACGTGCGTACTGCAAATTTCGAATTTTCCATAACAATCTGAAGATAAACAAATTTAGATGTAAAAAAGATATCCCCATAACAGGATATCTGTGCACTGTATGTAATGCATTAGAAGTTGAAGACGAGAATCATGTCTTTTTTTAATGTAAATATTACGAATTTTGGCGAGAAAAATATTTGGTACAACTTCGAAAAGTGTATAAAGGTCCACTAACTTTAGAATCTATTTTCAAATCAAGAAACAGCCAGGTAATTTATTTCACTTCTTTATTTCTGCATAATGTATTCCAAACTAGAGCTGGATCCCTTTGACCATTGTACATCGATTTATACAACTGTATAACTGTATTACAGGCCACTAGGCCGATATTACGCAAATAAACTGTCTGTCATTTACAGGTCATTGACTCCCTCCCTCTGCAAACCGTCTGCGTTCTGCTGTTTATTTTGTTGACAGTCACATAGACATATTCTATCATACAAATGCATAAAATCGGTGATTTACAATGTGATTAGGTTGTCTGACAAAACATCCACTTGCACAGTTTGAGATCGATTGGGTCATTGGATGAAGAGATACTTACAAAAAACCGGGTCCACATGCATTTCATGCCAAACTATAGCTATAGTTTGTTCACAGAAATAATAATCTAGTGATTGTACGAGCGCATCATAAATGAAGCCATGGGACCTTCAAATGAATATTAATATTTTTAAAATACTGTACGTATTGCTTTCATCTACACTGGTGATACTGCACTCCTTTCAAATCGTAGCCTGGAGTGAGTATGAACCGATGACAACAAAACCACGTGAATATCCTATCAAGGAATTAATGACCAGAAATATTAATAGTTTATACTTTATGTCAGAACGACACTACACTTCAGCGTGTCCTTCACACGTTATGTTAAAAAGAAATTATACCATGGAAGTTTTCCGTTAGTAAGTTTCTGAATGAATTTTCTTTTTTGAACGAACGAAAGAGTGTGTTAAAATGGTCAAAGAAACGCAGCCGAGCATTTGATGTTCGAATTGCACGAAACTTCAAGAAACAAGAAACATACGCAATGCAGTCTTAAGAAGTGCAGACGTAAGGCAACACCTATATTCATCGTTCTGGACAAAGGTTGACATGCCACACCTCAGGGAAAATGACAGATGGAGGAGAGCTGTAGGCTTCAGTCTGGTACCTAGCAGCGTTACGTTGCTCGTCTATTCAAGGTATATAGAAACACAACTTGGCACTTTTGGTGACGTTTTCAGCAAAACGGTCAAGTTATAGTCGTAGGGGCCGCCCATCAGTGGCGACCTCACGTCAAGACCGAAAGATTCCAACCACTCACATCCGACGCAGGCCCCAGCCAGCAACCTTTACAGGTTGTGCCATACCTGACAACAGAGATGTATCTGCGAGAACAGTTCTACGACGTCTAAGGGCCTACGGCATAAGTGCAGGACGTCCAGTGTGACTTCCAATCCTGACGCAATAACATCGTCCTCAAGTGGAGCAGAGAAAACTTCTTTCACTGATGGGTCGCTTCACCTTCACCACCGCATTGATGGCGGACGTCTCCAGGCGCGAACGCTACATCTGGACGTGTGGTCTGGGTGGGGATAAGTTGAGAGATGGGGTTGGGTAATAGCTGCAGCAGGGACGTCAATTTACTTCAAAAGTTTGTGGACTTACGTACCATCTCAGGAGGACAATAATTTTACAGTACTTTAACCTCCTTTGAGGATACAGCCACTAACAATCTGAGTTACTAATTTAAACTTCCAATCCTAAAATATTTATCTATTTACTAGATCTCAATAAAAAGCTTTAAATGGACATTTATATATATTTCTAAACGTCTGAGTAAAACGTACTCGTTCAATGCTCGTTCTATTGAACTGATACTAAACATCACCAGTTCAAAAGGTTATGAAAGGACTCATAAAGCCAAGACGCTGTACATGTACAATGTATACAGCCTATCCTTATAGAATCAAATAAGAACGTGTATCCTGTTGTCATAATAACCATACATCCAAGGCAAGACGCCAAAGATACTGATCTAAACATTGCCATAGCGATAATGACGTTTCATTATAGGCTAACTGGGGTATTTCAATATTTCAATATTTGGAATTCAATATATTTGTGCAGCGAAGTGCAACACAGAAAGAAACCGGGAAATATGTCGCAGGCAGCTCCATTAGGAAACATCCCCCGGAAGGAGCTACAAATGTCAGTTCAATCTGAAACCCCAAATGACAGTATTACAAATGATACCAACACTTATTCGAATCTAATTCGGCATCATCTACGGAAGAATACAGCAACGAGATAGTGAGGGAAATGACAATGGCGGGAGACTGACATATGCAAACACTGCTGGCAGTGAAGATCTGGAATGTAGTGCTAGCGCTGATACTGAAGGCTGACCATCCTGATTAACAGCAGTGATGATGGGGAAGATAGCTACAGTAACACTGGTAGAGGCTGAGCGTTACATTTCAACAGAACTGTTAAGGAAGACGCGTAGCTTGGCGATGACAGAAGATAACTTACTCTGAACACTTACAAGTTTATCAACAAATTTTGAGCCTAAAATACTTCTGATATGTTCATGATAAAAATAACTGTATGATATTGAAGAATGCTTTATATCATTCACATAAACGTAATATTGACATGCACATATTTTCTGGTCACGTCATGTACCCCTATTAAAACGGCAGAAATGAATAAGTGTGAGTACAGAGCAGTCATAGAGCTTTTGGTCCTCGTGGGCTAGCCGGCGAAGCACATTGAAGCACACTGAAGAGTGATTGACAGCAGTACTCGTACCCCATGGGACTCAGTACTCGTACACATTCTTATTATGTACAATATGCTTCAGGATATGTACTATGTAATATATACATGATTTCCTAGTCATTAAGTGAGAACCTGAAAAGAAACGTATAATTAACCTTTATTGTATACCGGCATATCAGAGACAACAGCCTTGCTCCAAGGCAGCACTGAATGCTGAGCCCATGGATGTATAGTAGTAATTCTATCCTTCGAAGAGGCAAGTCTAGATAAGCAGACAGTAGCATATGGACCCCAGTCTGTTGTTTATTAATTTTTAGAAATTGTCATTTAAAGTATTAATTGTGAACTTAGAGACTGGTGCAAGTCTACAGAAACAACAAGCAATATTTGCTATTGTACAAGTAAAGAATTAAATGTTCCTATAACAACAGAAGTTGCAGATATTTATCTTGAGCTCCTAACGACAGTACATGCGTAGTTCGTGTCCATAGACTGGTTATTTTGTCTAACCACAGGTCTGTGTCAAAACCATTAAACAGTTACAGTCGAGATGAGAGGGTAATTTGGTTAGTTGGAGTCCAATATATTTCTCGTACAATCAAGTAAGGTATTCAACTGTGCACAGCGAATTGCGGGACCTTAGATGGCTGGGTGACCGTGAACTTTTAATCACCACAATAAATACATACTAACAAATTATCAGAACATTTACAAAAGCATATAAGACCGTGGACCCCTAAAATAATAATGATAATAATAATATATACTTTTCATCATCATCAACTTTGTTGTAACATTACCATATACACCCACATTTCATTGCAAAAAAATGTAGGTTGTGTTTGTGAGGCTGGGTATACTGAAAACACGTTCACATGAGCAGCGGGACAAAATATGTCCCGCCCTACAAAGCCTTTGGTGTGGAACATCTAATAATTCAGGCTACCCTTTCACCACGTAAACCATTGTCATTCAGCCAGTATGATCAATCAATAATCATCAGGCTTTCACACAATGTTATCGGGTATAGCTTTACTGTTCAGGAAAATGTTTTTATTCTTCCTCTTCTCTCGACCTGTGAGATAGGCTTGGCTGCACCATAGCAATGAATAATTCACCCGGGCACCATGTGTGAGAGAGGTTAAATTACAGTGTCTTTTCACGGGGATATTTAATGTATGATACTTATGTATGTCATAATAGTTATTTTATGGTCGTGATCTCATAACCATGCATCATGTGTTAACCATTTTATAGATATTTTTCAGTGGAGGTTGGATTATGTTGTGTTAGTGTTCGACATGTGTTTACTCTAACATAGGGATTTCCACCGAAACACAGTGTACCTTCTCAAATCATACAATGTGTGTTATCTGTGTAATATATCTGGGACGTTACTTTAGGCATTTCATTACACGGCCTTAGAAGAATGGACACAAACTGACACCAGGAAGGAAGACGATGTCACTACCATCGCATGACTTTTTTCAGCTATTTGTGGAAATGTCTGAGAGTACCACGCAACATTCATTCTGAAGCTTCTCGGACCTGAAGCACCAAAATGGAGTTTGTCCTTGTGTTTAGGGGAGTATTATTCCTGTGTTTTGTGCATTTGATTTTGTCTTTAAATGGTACGTATACTCATAAACTAATATGTCGTGTTATTGCAAGATGATTAATAATATGAAAAATGGTAGTAGGAGATTTATAAGATCCTCAGAGCCACAATTATGCGATATATGCATGACGTCATAGGTCATCAATGATTAAATACAAAGAGCTAATTAGTTGCAATTAAGCAATTAGTTGTGTGGTCGTTAATTAAGTCAAAACGACACATAGTATCGATTTCCATATATGGGTCGGCGATGTAGAGTTGACTCATGCTTAATGGAATGTGCATGTGTTTCAAATTCTGTGGACTGCAGAGATGGGAGGTATGACTTCCACATGTGTAAACATAAGGCCGTGTGGCTGCAATCCCCCCAGTTACTCTCTATAAGACGTCCCATGTTATTTCCACGTGTGCTATGGGTAAATCCCGCCTCTATGCGTTATAACAAAATGAGGTCCTGTGTGGCTCAGTTCTGGGTCAACACGTTGCGTTTAATGAGTTAAGCCTTCATACATTTGTACAAAACATTTCTGTCATCGCATAATGCGAAGTACATTTAATATTTACATTATAAATTGAATTTTTAAACTGTCTGATAACACTAAGGAAGTAATCTTTCCCTCATAACATGTAAACATATGGAAATGATAGAACCTAGCTCTGTGTTTGTTTATGGCGGGAGAGGAGATACATGCCTCATTTAGAGGTAGAAACACAATAATCATTGACCCCAGAGCCTTCAATCCCTGTCTCATCTTAAAAACAAACAAACAAACAAAACCCGAACTTCATCTGTTATTTCACTGTTGTAAATTAAACATTATTGTTAGGAGTCTTGGGAGGGGGGTCACGGTGACCTGACCGAGAAGGTGGGATGACTTCATTTCTTGAGCCCCGTTCATTTCTTGGGGGTGGGGATGGTGTGTGTGTGTGTGTGTGTGTGTGTGTGTGTGTGTGTGTGTGTGTGTGTGTGTGTGTGTGTGTGTGTGTGTGTGTGTGTGTGTGTGTGTGTGTGTGTGTGTGTGTGTGTGTGTGTGTGTGTGTGTGTGTGTGTGTGTGTGAGATAAGTTAGTAGTTTTATGGGCATGACGTGTATTCATTGTAGATGGAGAAAGATAGATTGGGTTTATCAATTAACCATATTGCGTCAGAATTATTGTTTTGGTAAGAATAGGTCCCACTTTGTTTTAGCAACTGTATGATACTAAATCACTAGCAGCTACCACCCGTCACCCCTTTTTTTCTGACAAGTTCATTGTTTGACATGCATTAGGCGTTAATGATTGTAGATATTACAATTTGGCTAGGTAGATTGGCGTTTATTCATTGTATATGGAGATAGAGAGATTGGATTTACCAATTAATTGTATTGCGTCAGAATTATTTTCATTAGAATATGTCCGACTTTGTGTTAGCAAGTGTATGCTACTCAAACACTAGCAACTACTACCTGTCACCCCTTTTCTGTTCATAGTTTCACATACGTTATAGGTGTAATGGTTGTAGATATTACAATTGCTACAATGACAGTTGTAGATCTTTTTTAATAAACCTGGTGGATAATTATTTTCATATGAAATCCAAAGATAAACAGTACATTGTGTTAAAATATCATTAGAATATGTCATATTATATGTGTACATATGTCAGCCTATGTGTTGTGAATGTATGATGTAAAAAAAACCACTAGCAAATTGTTGTGTTCGATTTGTAGAAGCATAACAATAATTGTTTTCGAGAAGGATATTCATGATGTGGAGAACACCATTGAAATCTGTGATAGTCGACTATCGGATTCGGGGATCGGGTGGTCAGGCTCGCTGGTTTGGTTGACACATGTCATCAGTTCCCATGTGCGCAGATCCCAATTGTGCTCATGCTATTGATCATTGGATTGCCTGGTCCAGACTCGATTATTTACAGACCGCTGCCATATGGCTGGAATATTCCTTAGTGAGGTGTAATACTAAACTAACTCGCTCACCATTGAGATCTGAATTGAGAAAAAAAATACCAACAAAACAAAACAAAAATTGTGATAGACCTTCTTTCATTAGCAACATAAGGTCACAAGGTTACAAGTGTAAGACTTGGGTAATGTCAGTTATTGACAAACAAAAAATAGGAATCTTAACGGTTCAATGATGTTAAAAGTTTAATGTGTTTCATCTTGACATGACACTCGGATATATCAGCGATAGGATGGAGAAGGACATCTTTACGTGACATTTATGGTACAGAAAGAGATCTGCGCCCTGGAGATCTCAACTTGGCTGGTCTCCTGATGCATAGGACCATCTGTTTCTTTGATGACGAGCAGTTGGTGTCATTTAGAGAAATCTGTTTTGACTTTGTGAGAGGTCGTGTTTTTAATATATGAATAAGTCCACATCTCCTCCTTCCTTTACATTGGTTCAGAGATTGATTCTTCCGTGTCATTCTTATGATTAACAAAATATCGACTGAAGGGTTGGAACACCAGCCATGGTTTGTATATTCCCTCGCCATGTTTTTTTCTTTCTCACTCTCATCATCATCATCATCATCAGCAGCAGCAGCAGCGGCAGCAGCATCTTCATCACTACCATCGTCGGCAGGTATGATAGATTCAGTGTCGCTTTCAGCTTCGGGCATATCTATACGAGTTAGAATGTCCTTCATGATGGTTTTCATGAAACGGGTTATCTTGTGTTTGATGATAGATTGATCAGTGCCAGGAACCATATCGTTCAGGCTGTCTCGAATGGCCTGAAATAGAGGTGCCCGTTTAAAGTATTGGGTGAACTCTATGACACTGTCAGCCAATTCATGTTCCCACATCTGTTTAATTTTTTGGTACATCTATTCATGTGTACGACCACCTTGTTTTCTGTACTTTTTCCTCTTAAGTTTCATCAGGTCACGTTTGTTGTTGTACACACGATTCCAGATGCGTTGTAAACCCACATTTTGCCAGTCCTTGCTTGATGGCTTCCCACAACGACGATGTTTGAAAGCAAGACCTCCACCTTTCAGTTCCTCATCATCACTGCTGTCGTCAGTCTCGTATCTAAGACGTTTCCTCTTGAATTTCAAACTGTCGTTTGCTGGACACCATGATCTGATATGTCGTTGTAGATCATGCATATTGTCTATCAACACACCACAGTCAGTACACGCAGTGGCCATGGTGAGAGGTCCTGTGTCGTCACTTGAGATGGATACTGTTTCGACGTCACAGCTAAGAGACTGTTTTTTGGAAGTGTGATCAGCACCTGTCTGAACATCTAATGCTGCCGATAGATCTTTTATCTGTTGTTGTTGCCGTAAACCACTCTGGCCAGATTTATTGTAGCTGGTTGTCAAGATAGGAGGAGCAGTCTATTCCTTCTCACTCATGGAGGAGGAGGAAATATTCTTCATAGGAGGAGGAGGAGGAGGAGGAGAGGAGGAGGGGTAGGAGGAGGAGGCGGCGGCGGAGGAGGAGGAGGAGGAGGACACGGATAACACCGTACACAATACAGGACATAAGTTTCGAGTTGATCCATGCATCTGCTTCTGATGTTTCTGTAGATTATCTTTTCGTGTAAACCTCTTGCCACAGTCTGGACAAGTGGTAGTAACCTCCATGGTGGTTAAACACAAGTGTGGCATTACAGGGTCTGAAGCATTCTTTTATTCCCTTCAGACATGTGTCGCTTCAAGGTCGATTGGGTTCGTTTCACAATGTTTGTTGACTTAGACTTGAAAATGGCTGTAGGGCCAAATATATCCTGTGAAGCTCTCATCATGTTGAAAGATGACGTCTTAACCATCAGCAGGCAAGAGTGAAAATGCAAGTCAGTCGGCACTACAGTGAAATTTTATTCTACTTTCTTACGGTCATGCAACACATTTACAAATGACAAGAAAAGGTATTTTATACACTTATACAAGTTTTTATTTCGGTTCAATCGATGTGTTACAATCTATGTATGATTCATTTATGTAATGAACAGGGTATACACAACACTGAAAACAGATACTAATATTTTGTCTTAGAGATACAAGGTAGACATGAATCAGTGCAATATCTGAAGTAGTTACAAATAACTGCGGAAACATATTCATCATTGAACACATGATCATTCATATCAAATTGCTGTACAATATAATTCATTCGTAAATTTGCTTTGAATGTACATAAAACATAATACAATGTAAACAACCCACAGGTATTTGAATTGGAAGATTGTAATTGTTCTGTGTTGCGAGTGTAGGAGCTGTTATTCTCGTACTTCATGAAGTGATCATATATCCTATCAACGGGCTGCTCCGCCAAACTGTCAAGAAATTCTGCTTGGTTCATTTTGAAATACATGGCAATCCAGTGACGACCTTCGTGTGAACTGTTCTCCGTGTTGACAATCAGTCCAATGCCTTTAGCATGCATGCTTGGCGTGAGCATACTGTAAACGTACTTATTTTCGCGTGGTGCAATTTTTTTGCGGAATTGACAGTTTAGACTACATCGCGCCGTCAATTATTCTCGCAATCAGTAATTGCCGGAACTGCCAGCTGTCTTTTTGGCCGCCACTAATAGCGGTGAAAACAAACAGAGTGGCTAAACCTGTCAGGCGGCGTTTATTGCTTACTCACAGGAAATCCCTATCTGTGCGATATACTAGTACACAGTAATCCGTTTACTCACGGAAGTATTAAGTGCTTAGGAAGTGTGATATCGTGATGCAAGTACTAGTATATAAAGAGATGAAAAACACATCAGTCTTATGTTCCGAATTCTGACGATCTGACGATGGCATTGCGAATGTGGTTAAAGAAAGCGCCTACCCCCAAGACACCTGGACTTCCAGATCCAAATGACTGTAAAGATGACACTGAGGTCGAAGTTGTAATCGATGCAAATGCTGCAGTAGATCTACTCCAGGAAGATATGGCGATAAGTGACACGTCACGTGACCCATCATTCCGTAAAAGGAAACGTGGGGAATACCGTAATTATGATGCAGAATTACGGGTGAAAATTGCTGTGTATGCTATTGAACATGGTGTTATGAACGCAGCCCATAAGTACTCTTGTCACACTCACAAATAAAAAGAAGTTGTTATCCATAAAGTTTGTTCTATGTTGAAAGAATTTGGTGGACATGTTGAGTTGACTGACTCCTGGGCTAGATCGCTTCTAAGACGGATGGAGTTTGTTAAACGCAAGGGAACTAAAGGTGTGAAGAAGCTGCCGTCTGATTTTGCCGTCATCAAGACAGAGTTCCTGAATCTAGTACAGAGTGTCATCGACCAGAATGTCATCCCCGATCAAACCATCTGTCACTACGATTGGTCGAAATAGAACATGTGACCAATTTCCATGGCGGCCACAACACACATTGCTGTTTTCGCTAATTCGGCGATGGGATTTGGCTCATTATTTAATTATGTTTTGGGAAATCCATTACAGCAACCGTTAAGTATGATTCTTTATGCTACTATCAGTCGTCATTTTAAGATTCCCGTAGATTTCTGTCTTCAAACCTGATGTGTTATGGTAACAATTCAGGGCCGAGCGTGGCTAGACTGAATGAATGACAGGTTTATTTGCGCTGTATAAATTTTCGTGCTAAAATGTTTTGCGCGAAAAAGTGCGAAAATACAACCTGCGCGAAATATAATACGTTTACAGTAGGTAAAGTGTCTTTAGCAAAAACACCTAGGACACGAGATCGTAAACTCGGGTCGCATCGTATGGCACACCAAAGCTGTGAAGCTTTCATTATCATCTGGCGATTACTTGACAAACACGTTGCGGGGTTGGTCGATTTCGATGAGGGAATTTCAAGACAACGCAACTCAGCATGCTGGTGAGCGCCGATTTGAATTCCAGTTCGAGCCTCACGCTTCCGGATTTCACCAAGTTCAGGTATTCCGACTCTGCCCACATTGTGTCGATGTCGAAGACAAACAAGGCATTCCCCAGGAGAAATTCGCTTCTGGTGATGGCATTGCCCTTGTCTTCCTTCCACAGTCCCATGCCGTCGAGCATGTTGACGTAAGAGACGACATCGTCCGCTTCGGCAGGTTGACCCGGCACACTGACTCCGTCGATGTACAGCGTTATCTTTTTAAGCATGGATGACTTGAAATTATAGGGATTGCCAGTGTAGCTGCCTTTCAGACTCGAAATTTCCGCCAGTCCCACGACGTATCGGTTGGCGACTGGATTACTAACGTTGTCTATGGCATGCGTCTGCTGAGTGGTCGGGATGCTGGTCACCTTGACTTCGCTTTTGGTGTATGGGTAGAGAGCGTTCGACTTTTCGAACAGCGTGTTGTGAGCCAAGATCAAGGTGGGGTTGACTTTGACCTTGCACACCTGCAGATAAGCGTCCAAGAGTTGAACTTTGAATTCGTGCTCAGTCACGCTGCTCATCAAACAAAATTTGGGTTTCGATCTGAACATTTTCAAAGTCAGGTCCACGTCGTTGGGGAGAAGTCCATTCATGTCGAAGATGTCCTCGTACACGGGCCCTGACTTGGTGAGTTCTTTGCTTTGTGCTATGAAAGTGCCACATAATGACATTCCTGTATTGATAGATCCGGTGACGTTACTGCTTTCCAGATCCAAGTCGCTCTCGGCATAATCTTTGGCAAACAGCTGCGTGGCCAACTGAGTGTTTTTCGCTTGTGCGCCATATCCCAGCAGGACATTCATCATGCCCTTGTAGGCATAATGGTTGTTGGTACTAGACATTAACTGATTTTGGAGGTAGACCGTGACCTGGGAGAATAGCGACTGCATAAACAAGTTCACCGGGGCCACATTCTCTTCCTCGACCAAGGCCGTGCCATCGGTCTGCGTTACTTTGACTTTGATGTGCAAACGGGTGCGTCTCAGATCGGTGTAGTCAGGGCCTGAGTTGTTCACTTGAAACGACGGGGCAGCATCGTTGATTTGGCTTAAAGGTCGCTTACTTGGGTTGTCAGTCCAGATTTGAAGAGGTCATCATACGATGATGTCATATTGGCCACACAAGATATACTCATGAATACTTATTGAAAGGTGAGGATCCTCCGTTTTGTATCCCTTGTGATGAAAGAATCACGGTCAAGCATGTCCTGCTTGTCTGTATTGACTTTTCCATTACAAGGGATAAGTATTTCAATGTCAAAACAGTTAAGGATCATTTTAATGTTAATAATCATTTAATAATTGAATTTTTAAAGGAAATAGAATTACTAGATAAATTTTGATAAATGGTGTGTAAATAGATAAATATTGTATTATTGGTAGTTTAAATAAATAACTGCGATTGTTAGTGGCTGTACCTTCAAAGGGGGTTGAAGTATTATAAAGTTATTGTCCTCCTGAGAGGGTACATAAGTCCCAAAGCATTCAATGTAAATTTAAATCTATTGTTATTTTTGATCTTAGAATATATGTTTTTTTAATTTGTGGCTTGAATATCAAACATTGCTAATAGCTTGGAGATGGTGTAAATCCAGCTTGGGTCCATGCAGGAAGCAAAAGTACTGTAAGTCCCCATGGTCCCTAGTATGGTGATCTACCTTCAGTTGTTGGCAATCTACAGCCCGGTTTTATATTGTATTGTCAACTATAGTTAAACTGTGTTAGATTTAATTACTAGTTTTAAATTATTCTCTGTGATAATCTAGTTATTTTACTGTCCTTCGTAGACAGGCTTTTATAATTTACTATTACTTACTATGTGTACCAATTAATTATTCTCGTCACGATATGGCTGAAATATTGCCGATGTGACGATAAATTTTAGCTCACTCACTCAAGGGGCGGTGGGATAGCCTAGTGGTTAAAGCGTTGGCTCGTCACGCCGAAGACCCGGGTTCGAATCCCCACATGGGTACAATGTGTGAAGCCCATTTCTGGTGTCCCCCGCCGTGATGTTGCTGGAATATTGCTAAAAGCGGCGTAAAACCAAACTCAGTCAGTCAGTCAGTCACTCACTCAAGTGATCCTTTAATATTTTTTAGTTTTCATCACCAGCTTTGAATAGTACTGTGGAAGGAAATCTGAGGAACCTTAAATGTTCCGTACTATTCAGATGTATTGGCTACATGGTTCAACATATGCTTTGTCATTTGAAACTGGAACATCAGTACAAATATGAAGCATTGTTTCATCCCTAGGTTCAAGTCCAGTGTCGTTCAGCAGAGAAATGATTACGACATTGGCGACTTCATCCTTATCGGATCCTATGTCTGAAGGAGCTTCGCCTCAACATGACGTAACCAGTCAAAGGATGTCGGTAACCCAATCAGTAATGCCAACAAGCACCCTCTCTACTGACACGAACACTGTCAACTGTGTCAACAAGCTCCCTCTTAACTACCATGAGTAGGTACCCTTGTTAAAAAGTTCTATTCATAACCAGTTTGAGATAATATATTTGATAAAACTTGTTGAAATGCAGTTATAGGAGGCGTGGCCACGTGAACAGGGCTTCTGACCTCGGATCAGAAGGTTCGTGGTTCTAATCACGTGACATGACTCGGAAGATACGTGCTCGCCGAACCATGATTTAATTCTAATTAAGAGCGTACCTACCATCATATGCCAAATTCCACCTGCTTCCTGTCTTAAGTCATAAACTGACTTCGCTCCAAAAGGACACATGCTATGTTATAACTACTGAAACGCCACTTACTCACACACTAGCGATGTTTGTTAATGACTGAAAATAAAGGAAACCCTCCATACTGTCCTGATTCTGTAAATCAACCATGAAGATGCACGACTTGCATTCGCAATTTTATTATGTAGGGCTGCGCAATATAACCGGTTTACCGGTATTTACCGGTTCAGACATGAAATCGATACGTATTGCGATACGCTGCTCAAAACCCGGTATACCTGTGTGGTCGACCGCAATTTCGGTATGTTTTCACTGCAGACCAACATCAATGCATTAAATTAGGTTAAATAATGTATCGACAACTTTTCATGCACGGTGTACTGGTACATTTGATGTGTTTGAAATGTCCGCGAAAAGATAATACATGAATAACGGAAAGTTGCCACACACTACGTCAATGCAGCGATGCTCTCTTGCACAAATTACGTCTAGTCCAAATACTTTGGACACACCGACTACAGAAACAACATCAGGTTCACCTTCTGCAGCTATTGGTTGGTGCATACTAGCGTCGTATGACCCTGGTCATCTGTCTTCACTTTAATACAGATATGATTAGTTACCAGTGTTTGTGTATTTGTAGCGTTTTTCTGCATGGCCACTGTAACTACAAGTGACACGTCGAAATACCTTTCAAAACATTGTTTGGATGTAATAAAATCACTCGTCTGAAAATGTGGGTGAGTGGGCTCAGTTTTACACTGCTTTTAGCAATTTTATAGCAATATCACGGCGGGGGACACCAGAAATGGGCTTCACACATGGTACCCATGTGGGGACTATTGCTAAAAGCGGCGTAAAACCATACTCACTCACTCTTTGTACCATGTTTAGACAAGTAACTGCAATTCAATTGTATTTTATATAAATGAGTGAGTGTTAAAGTTTAAAGTCACATCAGCAGTATTAAAAATTATATCGACGTTGGATATGTAATCGCACACGCCATTTCAAACTACAATACATCACATCCGGGTTGTACATGTTAATCGCCAGAAATAAGAGGTTGATCACCATACCATGACCATGCAATGCAGCTCTTAAATACAATGTAGTTTGCCATAGCTTAGTGCTGACGTTCATGTTCTAAACTTAGCGCCCATATTTTCCCATCATATATAGTGGTCAAAGATACAGTGAAATGTACTCCCAGCGACAAGTGCGGTTAGTTACGACTGTGGCCTAAAATTGAATTTCCGATTAGCCAACAAGGGTGAGCTCCCTTCTGGAACCGCCGATAATCCTGTTTCCCCTCAATTGACCTTTCAGTAACTATCTCCTTGCCACCAGTTGTTAAAGAATACCTTCAAGTTAGAGATCAACGCGTAACATTGTTAAGGATTTTTTTTTTTTTTCTCAAAGGACACACCAGTGATATGTCAAGTGTGCAATCATCTCAAACTGCAGCGTCCTTTACGACCGTGACATCAACGAGTGGACCTACTACTCACTCGACTGGGAGTAAACAAGGTTTGATTCTTTTTTCAGTCAAACAAAAGCCCGAACGTACAACGCTCACGATACCTACCATGAACATTGTAAACCAAAAGTCACTGTGTTCTTTAATCATTTGAAAAACATGATCGAATGGTATTCGATTCCCGAAAATTTGCTGCGTATTAATACGTACAAACATCGCTCACACCATGGTATTGTTACGTCGTCAGCTTTGAAGACGTCATTCAAATGATATTGTGACGTAAAGTCTGAATGACGTCACAAATGAGCAGTTCGAGATGCTATCATGGGAGACAGCCGAAACGGTCGGCTGATGAAATTTCACTGCTGTACCCGTACTCGATGTCAATGAGTGCACACACAAAAACGCGTGCGGACCTATTGGTTTACTTTTGTGTTTACTTTTAAACATGTTTACAATGTCGATAAACATCGGGAATATGTTGGCCAATTTCGGTTCCAAACGAGTTCCCGTTAAATAATAACACCCGAAGTTGAAGCACAACACATATGTTTATCATTTGAAACCTCCGACTGACGCCGTCGGTTCCAAACGAGTTCCCGTGCTTCAAATACTCAATAACACCCGGAAATTGGCCAACACATGATGTTTATCTCCTAATGGGAATGCTTGTTACGTTTAGAAGATTTGCAGATGATTTTATATTATTATGAAGGTTATTTGTATTTCCAACTGCAACTGGATATCCCTCAGTTCACCTCAGACTCGTTTTAATGTATCCACCTCTGCTGCTACATTAAATAACTATCACTGACTTCATTGCTGTTATCACTGCTGTGTTTAATACTCCAATTGCAACTGTTACGCTATTGTACAGCCGTTGTATATACTATTCAGTAATTTGTATTGAGTTAGTGTACAGTTGTTAATTGCATGTAGAGTTCACAGTTAACGTATTGTTTAAACCTGCAAATCATCGCGTGACATTGTTAATAGTTCTGCTTTATTCACAGAACACACCAGTGAAACGTAAAGTGTGCAATCTTCTCACGATACAGCGTCCTTTACGACCACTAAATCTACGCCTGGACTAACCACTCAGTCGTCAGGGAGTAATCGAACACAGCGGCCCACGAAAGCAATTTTAACAACAAGTAAGTATACACAATTATACTTCACGGTGTATATACGTTTCACTCTTCTATCGGCTGTAAATACATAACGTCGCCTTAGGGTGATATAGGTTATCTAAAGTCAATACAAACTACACAATAAAAGTATTTTAACACCACATGTATAGTTTGTGTTTATTTGCACGTTTGTGCGTCTCGTCAGCCTGAAAAAAGACCAGAATAAAATAGACCTCATTGATTTGAACATATTGATTTGAAAATATTCAAGTCATGAATGGAATGACCAATTTGAAGGCCGCTCCCATATACAAATACATGAAGAAGTAAATACAGAAACAGATGGCACAATGATGATACAATTCTTATTTATCAGCAATCTAGATGGGAATGATGCATTAATATCGATTCGTTTGCTTGGCAGTCAATATCAAAACATGTATGAAATATCAACTCGATCTACCCCAATATACCTAATTAGATATTTGTACAACCCACGACTAGTGAGTGATAGCGGGCATGAGAGCGAGGGAGAGTTTGAGTGTTTGGTTTTGCGCCATGCTGTATTCAGAATATAAATTGTCATTACTTTCCCCGTCCCAGTGAGTTCACTACAACTGGATTAATGTTTTCAATGGACATGTGAGACAAAGGGACAAAGAGACAAAAGTTTGACTGTGTTATTTAACTATGGAATAATGTGTAAGGTTAACTGATGCTCCACTTACAGGATGGGTGGTTTCACTTGCGGTGCCGTGTGCAGTGAGTTGTGTTGTTTTTGCAATCATCACAATTCTTTGCAGGTAAATACGTTTACATAGTAACGACTAATTAAAATGTTAAAACAAACATTCATTTTTAACACATGTTATAATTGGGATTACACTTTCACAGTACAGTACAGATTCTCGTACATTTGTTGGGTAGAGTCCTATCCGGGATTCGAACCTACGCCCTCAGAGTCAGGCACCTACACTACCGCGGTGTACTAGATTCTGTACTGTAATGAGAAACTGTAATCCCAAATATAACATATGTTACATTTGACCACTTTCTAAAAGGCATTGTGTATTCATATAATCTATTTCGGTTGAAATACTTGTTTTCAAAGAACAAGCTTTGATGTAAATGAGTCTCGTTCAGTAGGTAAAAGAAATGTGAAATATTTATAATAGATAATATTCTTATTGTAATTATCACACACATTCATGCGGCTGAAAAAGGGCATAATTACAATAGCTTTTTACAGCTAATCGTTTGTAGAAATAGATATTAGTGATCTCTTAACAATTGTTATATCAACAATGGTCCTTGAGAATGTTCTGTACCAACTGAAAACATCTAAAATTCAACAGTTACTGAACACTTGCAGGGTGACAACACTTACACTTTTCGGCTGTTAGAAAATCTGTGTATTTAAAACGATTCACTGGTGTAATATCATCTTTTAAACATTTCAACGATCACTCCATATCAGGTCAATAGATATAGACAGTTCACTGATCAATTAGATCATAATTTGGTTATATATTACATACATACATGTACATGACACAACAGTAACATGCAAATTATTTGTTTTGTTATAGATATAGACAAAAGAGACAGACCCGGTCCCAAGGTATTTCCACTGACAGACCCCTGGAACTGGCTACCTCGGGGTCAGCTGAACCAAGTAACCTTTACTTTGTAAAGGCTTTGTCCTCGTCCCAGCCTTCATAAATCTAAACAATGACGAAGAACCAGATGCAGAAGCATCATCCAAGCTGACCGACACCAGACCAGAGCACGAACGGTACTCGAAAGTATTACCAAGGCATTTGAGATTCAACCAAAACAACAAGGCACGTATTTCTGGGAATCGTGCCGAAATGGTTGATAACTTTTTATACAGCACATCAAAACTTGAACTCATTGATGAAAGAGCTGACGATGCCATTCTGGAAAACATGGATACTTGTCTCATTGATGATGGAAACATTGGGGCTGGTGTTTGTTACATGACAGAAAACGAGATCTATTGCGGGGGGCCTGCTACAACTGACACCTCCGCTGAAACGAGCTCAGAAAGCGGAGATATGCCCAAAGAAATATGTTTCATGGTTGACAATGACATCTACAGTGGAGGAGAGCCTGATACTGTTAATGTAATGATCTAGATGGGGTATGAGAGAAGTGGGTGAAGGAGTATGGCTTCATGCAAGCTTTTACATACATACATACATACATACATACATACATACATACATACATACATACATACATACATACATACATACATACATACATACATACATACATACATACATACATACATACATACATACATACATACATACATACATACATACATACATACATACATACATACATACATACACATACATACATACATACATACATACATACATACATACATACATACATACATACATACATACATACATACATACATACATACATACAATCATACATACATACATACAATCATACATACATACATACATACATACATACATACATGCATACATATACATACATACATACATAAATCTGATTGTTAGTACTCGAGACGATGAGACATACTGTAACAGAATGATGTGATGATTTGAGGACAGACATGTACCGTCATGAATGACATTGACAGTTATGACTTTAGTCTGAAAAGTGCTTCGATGATATTAGGAACTCTGACCAGCAGCCTAGTACCCATATCTATGTAATGTTACAGTATCATTATCTAGTTGCTTGGTGGATATGTGACCTGCTATGCAAAAGGTTCTCTCGCATGTGAAAAAATTCATTAATCTTTACACATTGTTCTATAGTTTCGATTACCAAGGCAGATAAATCCTCGGGTAATTTGGAGAAGCAAGTGACACCTTTTGGAGTCCTGAATCACATGGTTTGTTCAATAGCAGCTTATTGTTGACGTTCCTGTTAAGGCGTATGTGCCATGACAAGCAACCATATAATGAATAAATTATTGTTTTCCTGCTTATAATATCTGATACTTTATCGGTTTATGAATCAGTCGCAAATGTTTTACCGAACGCAAAGTATGAACTTGATGTTACTGGCTTGTCATTGGAAATACTATTTTGACGTTTTACCCTGATGTTTCTTGTGTTTATGTATTGTAACACTTCCGGGTATGTAAATGTCTTCTGCTGAATGTTTTGTTGTGAGCTGTATATGTTTGTATTTTATTCATTAGCACCGTTGTGCAGTTTGTTTACCACAGGACAGGACTATTCATTACATATGTCCGGCTATACAAGATAATAGATACAATACATAGCGCCCTATATGGTTCAGAAACTATCATACTCTAAGGCACTGACATGTATATACATTTCACACTGTATTCAGTAATTAGTTTTAGAACAAAACGTGAGTGAAAACCTGAACAAGTAACCGACTGTAGGCACCAAATAACAAAGTGACCGATCACGACAAATCGGGTCATATATTATTCATGTGCATTTCAACGAATGAACGGATTCATGAGTAATTACAAGATGGTTCTTATTTGTTAAGATTTAAGCCTGTACAAATGTATATATTTTTTCATTTTTTAAAGTGACAATTACAAAGTTTGCTATGCCATCTGGATATGGACGTGGGGAAAGTTTTAAACAAACGGGACGTCATCATATATGCATTAGATACAATTGTTCTAACACGGAAAATGACAGAACTTTCCTGTTTGATATGTTCGCAGTGTCAGATAACAGGTCACACTTGATCAGAGGTTTCCTCCTCTTTGTTATTGTCTATGAAAGGAAATTACATTATACACAAACTGCATTAACTGACAGTGTTATACGCTGTATTGCAGAATACTGTCAATTTTACTAATTCGTCAGAACGTTTCTGAATTGTGAAAACTCTGGTTTAAGGTTCGTTTGGGCATATTTACAACAAAGCGGTACGATCAAATTAGAATATCTAACTATGTTGCCCATGAATACCTTCACACAATGTTACATAGAATTTCACATGTAATGTCAAAAGTCGTTGTTTGTGCAGTGTGGCTTTATTAAGTGTATTTGCCTGTGCTTCATTTTAGATTATTATTTGTCGTTTTTTGGACAACCGGGCCTGCTGCTTGGAACCTTATACTTATGTCCAGCAGTGATGTATACACAAGCCCCAATTTCTCTTTATAGCTGTACACCTTTACGCGGAGTTTGTTCCATTATGTTTCACAATTAAATACTCCATACAATTGTGTGCGTTTGTTCATTGCCTACAATACCTTAGTTGAAATTGAGGGATTGACTGAGAAATCGAAATTCCACCTTCAGTACCGAGAAGGACCCTGTGCTGAAGGTTTTTTAACTCACTCGTCCAATCATAAGTAAATGCCTGTGTTGCAAGAACACACCATGCCCTATATCACGGGCCAGAAACGGTGGGTGTTGTTGTTTAAACGTCGCGTGGACGACGACTATACACAATCCATTGACATGTTGCACACCGACGTGAAGCTGGTTCCCAGGGCCAACTGGTGGTATCATCAGAAGTGACCTGTCTTTAACGGGTTCGAAGCCGGGGCGCTTTTAAGCCCGATTTGACCCGATTTACGGCAGTATTTCACGCTGCAGATGCTTGTTATGTTTCGTACATCGACCACAGGGTTTTGTTGTTACTATGGATCGAAAGCCCCGTGTCTTAGCTTTCACGTCATGTGCGACACGTGCGGGTGTCGTCACGTTTTCCCACCCTTAAAGCCCCCCGAAGCTAAGCCCCGTGCGTGTGACGGGAGCCAAAACAGCTCAGATTTCATATCAAAAGGGGGTTTGATCTGTGCGTCCCGTTTGCACTGATTGTCTCACACACGGATCCCCTTTTGCTACTGCTGTATATAAACACAATGGGCCGAAACGACAATTATAGAGTTTTGGAATTACGATAAAATGATGATCTACCGGACAGGGCATGGGCGTTTAAACGTACCTACACATACACTTACGAATGGAAAGCCAGAACTGGGCATTGGCTTTGACGTCAAGTGGACGCCATCCTTGCCTAACAGTGCAGGTCCCATCCTCATGTGCTGGCTGTGGTCCCAAAAGGTGGCATCCAGACGGCGTCGCAACATCCTCTTCCAGCGCCGATTCGTCTCCTCCACCTTCCGCTTGTAGGCAGAGACCGTCATGTTCCTTGGTTTTACCCTCGGGAACAGACTTCCTATCACTGCTCTGGAGCCCGGCCGTTTCCACCGAAGGTAGTCCAGAAGATCCAGCAAGTCCTCAACCAGGTTCTGAGGATCAGTTGACGCCGACACGTCGTTCTCTCCCACTTGAAAGAAAACAATGCCCTGGAAACCTGCATCAAGGGCATCCACCACTGCTTTCATCCGAGCGACAGTCGCCCCTCCTATCCCACGCACGGAAGTGATGATGCCACGTGGAGGGGACAGATTTGATCAAGTCGCCGCACGAAGCTATGTCCCAGGATGGCAAAGTGGACGGGCTTTGAAACAGGACCTTTAAAAGTGTGTAGGCCATGGCTTGAATGAAGTCTTCAACAATGAGTTGTGTCAAACAATGTTAGCACAAGTGCCGTGATGCTTGTATCTGACTGCTAGGTATATATATAGCCCGGGCGATTGAAAAGTGTTTGTATTAAGCTCTGCATTGAGGTCACAGAGTCAATCAATCATTCATGGATTAAGGCCGGCTGGTAGCTTAAACCTGACACGACTCACTCATCCCATTCACTTATGCGCGATTAAACAACCGGATCAACGATTGGCGCTTTCAGTCGTAATTCCCGCCACTTGGTTGGCTTCCATGTCTCACTCAGAAACTCGGATTAGGCATTACAATCAAAACATCAGAGCAGAGCCTGTGTGCCCCACCACAACAAGTGCCTCTGCAAACGTGAGGCCAATCAAGGCTCATTTTGAAGACAATGAGGTGAGTAAGAACTCACTATGAAGCTACTTAAGGGATGTAATTGTGTGAAGGTGACCTTTAGTAACAAACAATAAGAATTAAATATCACAAAAAACGTGTCTCCGTTTTCTCTTCACATGGAAATAAAGACAATACCAAGGCTAAACGTAGCAAAGAAATCGTTTTATTCATCCTTCCAGACAACATCAAACCAAGTGCAAACATAGCAAAAAATTCAGTTCGCCATCACACCAGGTGGAATTGAAGACAAATATCCGGGCTAGTTCGTAGACATTGAAAGCATGTTCCCCTCACCTGGAAACAATACTATCAATGCCTCGGCCGGCCTACCGACTCAATTCATAGAACTTGAGCCAAGTGTAGAAAATCACTTGAGCCAAGGATTATATTTCAGTTTCACATGCCAGACTTTACCTCGATGTTTTTTCCCGTTTAATTTACTGGTATTATTAGTTCTTTGTTGTTATTGTTTTAAGTTTATGTCATTGCAGTTTTGGTTAGTGATTCAGCTGAAAGAGAAGGCCGTAGGCTTTTAGTTTTAATTTATGTTTTTTTCGGTTTTTAGGTTAGCGTTTTAGATTAGAGAGAGAAGGACTTATTGCCTTTTCACGCTAGTTTTATGTTACATCGGTTTGTGGTTAGTGTTACTTTAGAGCGAGACAGTGTTAACTTGTACTTTTATTTTTGCATTCCCCATTTGTAAGACGAACATGATCATGACGAAGCATTTGTGCATCACAGTCATATACCCAGATGGATAACCATAGCTCACGCATTCAATACTCTAACAATTGCATAATGGACAGATGATTCAAACATGTCAGCACAAATATATAATACTGAAACATTAAACCTGGAAGGATACAACTTTGATTTCAAAGTCCGATTGCTGTGATGAAGCGCAGTTGGAGTCTACGCAGGAAGGTCGCCGTGGTAGATCAGATCTCTGTGAATTCTTCAGGTACTACTGTTGACAATGGCAGTGGAGCTGCTACGTGATGAACAATACATACTACAATTTACATCAACATGCATAACAAACGTCAGAAAACGTCAATGTCCGTCTGGCGTGTAGTGCCATTGCGCCTACCCATCAATTGGGTGACTTCGCGATATGCATAGCTGTAGACACTACAGCAATATACCTCTCCTTTCCCATATGCCACACCTTAGGGGAATTGCAAAGATTTGACACGGCAAATCATGCACAGTTACCACCAAATCGCCTCTGAGCACCTGCCGGGACTCGAACTGGTTTGCCTGCGCCAGCTACCGTTCCGCCGCTAATGCCTCTCCTCTAAGGGGCGACCCTTCACTCCCATGCAACACCAGCATTTCGTCCTGCTTCCAGGAGAAATCAACCACCGTTTGCGCTTGCTTACTGCCAAGTCGCCTCTGAGCGCCTGCCGGGATTCGAACTGGTTTGCCTCGCCAGCTACCGCTCCGCTGCTAATGCCTCTCCTCTAAGGATCGCCCCTTCACTCCCATGCAACACCAGCATTTCGTCCTGCTTCCAGGAGAAATCAACCACCGTTTGCGCTTGCTTACTGCCAAGTCGCCTCTGAGCGCCTGCCGGGATTCGAACTGGTTTGCCTGCGCCAGCTACCGTTCCGCCGCTAATGCCTCTCCTCTAAGGGTCGCCCCTTCACTCCCATGCAACACCAGCATTTCGTCCTGCTTCCAGGAGAAATCAACCACCATTTGCGCTTGCTTACTGCCAAGTCGCCTCTGAGCGCCTGCCGGGACTCGAACTGGTTTGCCTGCGCCAGCTACCGTTCCGCCGCTAATGCCTCTCCTCTAAGGGGCGACCCTTCACTCCCATGCAACACCAGCATTTCGGCCCTGCTTCCAGGAGAAATCAACCACCGCTTATGCTTTAGCTTACTGCCAAGTCGCCTTCTGAGCGCCTCTGCCGGGGACTCGAACTGGTTTGCCTGCGCCAGCTACCGTTCCGCCGCTAATGCCTCTCCTCTAAGGGGCGACCCTTCACTCCCATGCAACACCATCATTTCGTCCTGCTTCCAGGAGAAATCAACCACCGTTTGCGCTTGCTTACTGTCAAGTCGCCTC